GACATTTTAATATGCAAATACTTTAGAAATAAAAGTACGGTGACCATAAAAATGAATTGAAAATGCGGGACAATTTTTCAATAACATGGGTACCTATACATACGTATTATACAAATATCGAAAAAGTATTTCTAAAATCTTAATCCATTTTAAACTTTGAACAAAAATCAAATTTTCTTTCCTGGTATTGATGTTTTTTAAAGGAATATTTATAAAATTATAACAAAATATATTATAATTACTCTAGCTTACACAAAAAGTGAACCTCTTTGAAAGATAATTTTGTAGGCAAACTTTGTGTCTTTCAACTCTAAAACAATACCAATTTTTTCAAAGGAGTATTTTCGGGATTTTTTCGCAGTTACCCGTCAAAAATCGATGTCATGAATCGACATAAACGACCCACCGTTACAATAATATATAATTTGTGCAGATTGCGCTCCACAACATCTACATTTCTCTTCCAAATTTTATTATTTTAGGCTCAAAAGTTACAGTAATGATAAATCTTTTATATTGAGTTTTAAAAATAATGAAAAAAGAATCAAGTAAAACTGTGCAGTTGATTGAAAATCTATCTTCGACTTTCGACTTTGATCGCTTGTAGCACTAATAATTTTCACTGAAATCGGCACATACATATATGTCGGCAGCTATATATTTTTGGAAAAGGCACATCCATACTTTTCGAATTGATGATTTTTTTTCGATCAAAAATAATGATTTTTATTATTTCGCTCAAAGATAATAATTATTATTGAGTTTAATTTTTTCACTTGAGCGAAAAATAAAGCTCAATAATAATCATTATTATTAAGCGAAAAAAATATAAATCATAAAATAATGATTATATGCTGATTTAAATTATTTTACTCATAATGATAATCGTCCCTGAAAAAAATCAATCCATTGTCCGTGGCCGCACAAAACTTAGAACGCATTGAGCCTCACTCTCATGTGGATATCAATCAGTTATCGACACTGCTTATATTTTGATAGGTACATTTCAAAATATCGAATAAAATGCGTGACAAATGCAGGACAGTTGGAACAAATCAGTACATTTTCAGGATTTTCCGTTTTGAAAAAGTATGCAGGACAGACCTTTGAATAACAGTACGATAATGCAAAAAACAGGACGGATGGTGACCGTAAATAAAAGAGACTGATGCTTTGTATTTTAACATTTCGTAAATCAGGGTTAATGATTGAGCGCCAATTCTTGTTCATGAATACTTACGTTTGTTTTTTTTTTTGAAAATTACCTACATATGTAAGTACTTTCGCGTATGCACTTTTATAGACCATTCAATTTTACTATAAAAACTGTGAGTGTGATGTGGCTCAAAGTTCGCGTTGATTTTTGAGAACTGTTTTCGTTTCTTTCTTTCATATAAAGCATATTCAAATTTGTTGTACATACAATTATAAAGAACATACAAAAAAAATATATATTAAAAATCAACTTCAATTCCGTGGCTCTTTAAACTTGTGCTTTAATCTACTATACTATAGGCCATTAACTATAAAACAGCATACGCGAAAGTTTTCTAAAACCTTTGACAACAAAGTTTTAAATTTTAATGAACATTTTTTTGTAGATAGTTTACAACTTTAATTTTTATGGGTATTGTTTTTGAACTTACTATACTTTTATAAAAAATATAAATAAAATTACATAAAAGGTTATTCAATTGTTAAGACTTATTAATATGTCGCGCTGCTATTTTCGTGAACATATGAGTACGTACATATGTATATATATATAAAATATATATATATTATATATATTACGTTTTGTTGTGTAAAGTTATATCAGAGAATATTAATGTAATTAAATTGGTGATATTCCATGATAAACAATTTTACGTTCCAAAAATTTCGCACCTTATCTATCTTCTATCTCCTCTGGTAATATAAATAACACTTTTGTAAAAATTTAAATATAAAATAAACAAAGAGAAATAAATGATCAAAACTTAAGAAAAAGTAGTGTCCCTAATGATGTCGCCACCTTTGTATGAATATAAAGGCTCTCAAACTGTTCACAGTGCCTCTACACAAATTTAACAAACACTGTTGGCTGTAAGCAGTTCCGACATGCGCCTAAATTCCTGCCACCGAAGCGAATTAAGTTTTTATGCTTACTGGGCATTTATAAAGGGAACATAAATTAGGATGAAATATAGGGGGATCAATTATGACCAACAAAAACCCCAAAACATACTATACTGATGCAAATTTTCTAAACATGCAAAAATAGGAAGCCAACAATTTACATACAAATACATATGTATCTACACAAATAATTCTTTGGCTTTTTCAATTCACTCACCTTATAGCTTTCCCCAAATTAGATGAAGATTACACAGCTACACTTCAATTTAATTTAAAAACAAAAAACACACTTCGGACCGGCCCGAGCCACTCGCGCACGCCATCGAAACTACATAAATCGCCACGAAAACTAAAATAAACACCGCTCGCGCATATATTTATCTACTTTGTTAATTAAAACACTTAGTTTTCCTAATTTTACAGAAAACTAACACTTTTCACCATATTAAACGCAAACTTTAGCATTTTCAGGAATTTTAACTCGCACTCGACGGAAGCAATCGCGGCACTGTTGAAATGGCGTCGGAAATTCAGTGAAGCGCAGGGGTGTATTTCACTGTGTAAATATGTGGATAATAAGGTGTTCACAGTGTTGGTGTAGATTGACTAGATTAAACATTAGGATTTGCCAAGCGGTAATATATTTTAACAAAATTTTGATGATATAATTGCGCTCACAACTAAAAAAATGCAGAAATACAAACACAACTTATATATACAACTTTGTTGGTGTGAATGAAAATATATCGAAACAGGAACGTACCACGGTCAAGCGACAAGTAATGCTTGTAAAAATTTGAATTTTAAAATGATAAAAGCTTATTTTAAAAATCTTGCACAATAGTTTAAAAATCAATAAAAATGTTTAGAGTTTAATAATTGGTGACGAATACAGAATTTAGTGAAGAGATATGCCGATCCGATGGCAATATGTTAGTTGTGTGTTATAAAAGCTCTCATTGAGAAATTAAAAATACACTGGCTTATAGTCATAGTCGTAAGCTAAAACTCATTCTTGTTAAAATATAGTTTTAAGTTTAGATATTTTTTTCGACAGCTTACCTTCATGCGGAAACAAATTAAGAAATTTGAAATCGGTGGTCCTATATCTGAAATTTACCTTATAAATAAACTCTGTTCGTAAACTTTTTGAATTGAAATTTTTTAATCGAGTCCGCAGATGTTTGCGTTAAATAAATAACACGACGTCAGCAGATTTGCAGCATTCGTTCCATTTTCATAAATGAAATGTCAAATTAGAGGGCCTAACCTGTAAATGTGCAAAAGGATTTCAGTTTTTCAAATAATCGAGTCCGCAGATGTCTGCGTTAAACATTTTATACAATGAAATCAGTAGCTCGTTTCTGTAACTATTCTCTACCGATTATTTCTCTACTGGTAGAGAATATACATCATTCTCTACTACTCATTAGAAGTAGAGAACAAGGCAGCGTTTTGATCCACGTACTTCAAAATTGATACGTGTTTGTGCAAATTTTCGGGAGATACTTTACTTTTTTCGCTCATTTCGCGAGATACTTAAATTTTTTTCGCGTAGTACGAATTTTGATACATGACAAAGAGAAAATATGTATGTATGTATGCAGTGGCAGCTTTAAAAGCTTGATCGAAAATATTGCAACGTTTTGGGGTCAAATAAGTTTAAAAAAAATTATATATATATATTGATATTTTATATATTTTCAGTTTATTATATTCGAATTTATTTTATATTTGAACAATTCTACATAACTTTTCCAGTGTTTTATATCCTGGTTATGTCACTCATGCTTTTTAATCTAAAAGCATCATAACCCTAGTAAACAGCTGTTTGTGTAACGTGACATTGCCGGACTTGCATTTTACGATTTCATTAAATGATGCCGAAGGTGGGAAACCAAATAGCATTTTTTTAAGTTTTTTCTAACTTGATACTTTGATACTTAAATAAAAAATGTGTGATACATTTGATCCATTTTTTGTTTCTTCTACGATACGTTTTTTCATGACGTCGCGGCAACACTGGCTACAGATCTGCATCGCTCGAATTGTACAGGAGAGAGTAAAGCCTGTCTTATTTCAAACCAGTTCTCTCTTTGTTTCATGATTATTTCTAGCTTTCATATCTAAATATTAATATTTTGGTATGAATGGATAACGCTTGATGTCTGGAGCTTCCGATGAGCAAATCTCATTTTTGGCAAAAATATCAGTTGCGACGACCCAAAAAAAGCTGTGTGTGCTTTTAACCAAACCCAGCTACCGACATTATTTCGACTTGCTGAATTCGAATCTGAGGTCCGTTCGACTTGCACTCCTCCAAAATTTCGAGTAAATTGCGAAAAACCAAAAAAAAAGGCAAAAAGTTCGCGGGTAGAAGTATCTCTGCCTCACTTTTTTTTTGGTGTGCCTTTGTTATTATTAAAAATTAACGAAGAAATCGCTCCTATATTTTTTCGTAGCACAAATATTTGTATATATTTGTTTAAAATAAAAATTATTGAAATCGGGTTGTTTGTTTTTTAGCTTTGTTTATTTTTGAAATGTTATCGTCTTTTTAACCGACTTAAAAAAATGGGGAGGTTATCAATTCGTCGGAATATCTTTTGGACCATGGGAACCGTTTTCGAAAATTATTTTTTATCGGAAAGTTGGTGTTTTAAGGGTGGTTCGATGCCAATTTAGTTTAATCCCGATCATGGGATCATTAACGAACTAACGGTAATCATAAATTTTAATATGAGCATATAAATCATTCTTAATCCAAATCCTATGAATCTTTTTTATTTTTATTTTTTTTTATTTTTGTTTTTGTTTGGCCTAAAAATTACTTGTATAAAATACGTGTATCTAAAACAACTTCTTTACTTCTCTAATTGCAGGAGTCTCGTGGCAAGAGACCCCTTAAAATTTGGGATAGTTGGCGAAATGTGCGCAAAGGCGTAGTTGTTGGAACATTCGAGGAGCTATTAGTTAGAGGTAATTAACTATTCGTACTGTAACATTAATGCCTAATTAACTTTTCAATCTATGTGTGTAAATAGGAAAGGATAAATTAGGGGTTCCTGCCTCAGAACCGGTGCGTGTTGTTCTGGAGTGCGATGGAACCCAAATCGAAGATGGCGAATATTTTCGTACATTGGCAAACAACACGGTGCTACTATTGTTAAGGCAGGGCGAACGTTGGTACCCAACAGGTGTTGATGTTATAAAGGCTGGTATGTTAATTTAGAAATCTAAAACTCGAATGCTACTTTAGTTCAGTTAGACATACCTATGTATGTAATTAATTTTTATTCACCCACTTATTTTGCAGCGATATCAGCTATACCTAAGATCGTCTGTGAGACGATTCACGCGCTCGAATTACACGATGAGACGCCATCTTGGAAGATTATGGATAATAAGGGTCGTGTTACGGTGGTCCTGCATTGGGATCAGCGTCAGGGAGGTGGAGGAGGAGGAGGCGGCGGCGGCGGCGGAGGAGGTGGTGGCGGTGGTGGATGTGCCGGCGGCGTTGGTGGCATGGGACCAAGTGGTAGCGGCGCCAGCGGCAATAACGGACTCATGTCATCGGACAAGTACTCACCATCGAAGAAAGGACTGTCGGCGCAAAGTTCGCTGGACACCAAATCGGTGTCGTCACAATCGTCACAGCAACGCTATGCCAGCCCACAAATAACCGTCATCAGCGATGAAGGTCCAGCGAGCATATACCATCCGGGCGGTGTGGTGCTGCCACCCGGTGTGGTAATACCAGGCACCAGTAGGCGCCTATCCAAGCAGGGCGGCTCATTTGATAGCGCCGTCGGTGCGGTGCACGTGCATACACCCGAATGTGCGCACCATGCGCACACGCCCAGTCGGGCGGGCAGTCCCAGCACCACGGAATGCGATTTTCATTGTTGTGCGCTGCACGAGGAGGGGCGCAAAATAGCCGTGCACAAAAGTGTGGCCACGTCGCCCATACAAGACGGCACCACGAGTCCCCAGCCGCAGCAACAGCAGCAACAACAAGCGACGCTATCAATGTCATCGGTTGTGGATCCTATGATGGGCGGCAGCATGCAGCGACGCTCATCGGGCGTCAAGGGCCATGTACGCTTTCTGGATATTGCGCCGGAGCGTGATAGCTCCGAGAGTGAAACAGAGAATACCGTCATGGAGGACGATAAGACGACGACTGAGAAATTCCTGCTGCTCATCGATCAGCTGTCTGTCGATCAGAAACGACATCTCAGCATCAAAGACATCGGCATCATATTGGAGCGACTCAATTCGAAGATACTCGACGTAGAGCGGCTGGATCGAGAATCGGAATCGGACGATTGCTACAATTGGACGATAAAGGCGACAATACGAGGTGATGCGCTGCGTGAGCTGGGCGTCATCTATAATGGAAACTATTACGCCATATCCGAGCATCCCGGCTACAAGGAGGAAGTCGAAGAGAACGGCGAAGAGGTGGAGGAAGAAGACGAAGAGGATAGAATATAGAAATGCAATTAATTAAATTACAAAAGAAAAAATGAAAAAACATAAAACACACAAATAATTAAATTAAAAAACATTAAGCATTAAAACAGAAAACACACATACACCCACAAATAAACTCATATATACATATATAAAATAATAGTACTAACAACCTATGAAAAAGAAACACAAAAATAATAATAAGGAATGGGCGGAAATTAATAACCAAATTATGTGGAATAAAGTGGCTAAAAATAAATACAAAACGAAATAGAATGGGAAAAATATGCAAAATGAGTACGTTTAAGTAAGGAATAGTGAAATAATTTTAGTAAATTGAAGTAAATTAATTGAAAAAAAAACTAAAACAATAGCAGTTACTTGGTTGGGAAGCAAGGCGTGGCAAAAACAGGGAAGTGAAGAAATTTAAAAAGGCGCACCAAACACACAACAGAAGCGAACCAGCGTACACAGACACACACAAACATTACAAAAAAAAATATGTAACTCCAGAAAAAAAGGTATTTCCGCATTAAAAACACGCAAGGAATAACGAAGAAAATAAACAAGAAACAAAACAAATACCAGAATGCAATTCAATAGCGTTTAAGAAATAGTTAAAAAAAAAAAAAACAAGACAAGGTGAAAAATAAAAAAGCCCAAATATTGGAGAAACCCCAGTACCCAAACCTTCACTTAACCCAAACACAAAGCAAAAGTTGATACTGGGCGGCTTTCTAACGTAAATACACAGTGAGAAATTCGCATAGCATTAAGTACTGGAAAGCACCAATCACGCATTAACATTACTGCAACCATTGAAAATTAAAAAAAAAAATAATAAAATAAAAGGAAAATGTAAAAACATACATATTTTGAACAAAACAAAATCCCAAAATTAACAATTTATAAACAGTCAGCTGATTTTAAAAACATACACGCACATTTTATATACATATGTACACACACTCACAGACACAAATACATACATACATACAGTATCGGTCATATCTATAGCACGTCATTTCAAAGTGAAATTATTTGCCACTATTAATTATCTATTTTATTTGTTTTTAAAAATTTTCAATCAAAATATGGTTCATTCTCAGACAAGCCCCATATAAACCCAAGTTTAACAATTGGTAGAAAATTACAAAAAAACGCCACAAATTTTCTCCTAAATTTCAAACTATTTTCTCGGAAGTTTTAGAATTTTTTCGAGTACATAGTTTTTTAGCCCCTTCAATTTTAGTCTGATAATGTGCAAATTTCAAGTGGCTACGAATTACCGTTGATTTTTTAGAATTTTTTTTGTCGCATTGGCTTCCATATAATGAATAAACTCAATTTGTATATGGAAGAAATCCCCAACACCTTTGGCGAAAAAAATTCTAAAAAATCAACGGTAACTTTTAGCCACTTGAAACTAGCACATTATCAGGCTAAAATTGATTGGGCTATAAAACTGTGTATTCAAAAAATTTCTAACACTTCGGAGAAAAATGTTTGAATGTTGGGTGATAATTTGTTGCACTTTTTTGTAGTTTTCTACAAATTTTTAAACTTGCGTTTATATGGGTTTTATTAGAGAAAGAGCTGTATTTTAATTGAAAATTCTAAAAAATAAATAAATAAACATAAGTGGCACACAATATCACTTTGAAATGGCGTGCTATAGATATGACCGATACTGTACATACATACGTGTGGACATTTGATAAAACAATTTAACGCGAATACTAATTTTAAGGTATGTATTAGGGTGGTCCGAGAAAGGTAAAGTCGGAATTTTGATGCTCCCACCCACCGAGGATAGTTCTATGTCGAAAAAAATTTACGCGTATTTTTTATTTTGAAATCAAAAAATATTTAGATATTTATTTAACCATTTTTTAATACTAAAGATTTTTTTATTGGTTCCCCATTGAATTTTCTGGCATTTTTTCTGGGGTTTTCGGAGGACCTTTCAAATATAGTTACTATAAAAATATGGTTTAATAAATAATTGGGTATTATTATTAAGAATCTCCTGAACGGAAACAAAGTTTTCTGATAAAAAAAAAATGATTTTTATGAATTCTATACCATTTCTAAGAAAAGTGGTTTTTCCCATATCACATATATACATGGACAACTTTGAGCGCTTTGAGCAACCTCTAAATATTTTTTGATATATATATTTACATATACATTTTTTTCGGTTTAGAACAATCCTAGGGGGTGACAGCATAAAAATTTCGACTTTTTTTACTTTTTCACATGCATTTTTGACCACCCTAGTACGCATACAGTATGTTGTATTCCCATACAATATTTTAACTATAAGCCAATCATCAGCAATAGTTTAAGATACCACTTTAAAAAGAGCTTAACAAAAATATAATTTTGTTTTATTCTAAAATCATATAGATGCATAAGTTGTTTTGTCAAAAACCACAGATATGTATGTATACTCCGACATAATAAACTTCATTCATAAGTTTTTTAGGTAATATATAATCCTTACAATACAAATAGTATGTATAAGTTAAGCTATAAAAAATTACAAAACATACAAACAATATGAAACTCATTTACCTATACATGCATACATATACGTATTTTGTATGTATGTGAACCAATGGAATTATTTAAATCAAAAACTCAGTTAACTTTCTCTCTTACACAATGCAATCAAATGTGATTTAACTTAGTACTTATTTATGGCTTACCATATTATCATGTTATTGTACATAGTACGAATATATGTTTGTAAAATACCTACATAGATACAAATATAATACAGCTTATTTTATATTAACTGCCGGAAAGCAAAAGCTGTGCAAACATATCGCTCGTTTACAAGAAGAACGTCATATTCGAACGTAAATTTAAAATTGAGAAAAACGACTGTAAACTTTTTAGTCGGCTATTTCTTCAGGAATGAAAATAAAGTTGCGTCCCCGAACTAGTCGGAAGTTGCAAGAATTTACCAAAATTTATCAGAAAGCGTTCCCGTACTCGGTTCTCTGGAAGAGGAGGGGAAAAATGGTAGAGTAAAATAGGTACTCTCTTTGTATGAAGTCGCAAGATTTTACCTGAAGAATTTTTGCTGGTTACATCGGCTGAAGTGTCAAGCCATCAGCTGTTCTGAGCTGTCAAAGCAAATTAAAAGTCTCGTAAACATATTTTCTTATAATTTAGTAAATCTTAAAATAATAAAAAACCGTTATGTAAACAAAAAATGGCGTCTACGACGTATTTGAAAGAATTAGCAGTTTTTCCCCCGAAAAGCGGTGCCGTACTTTGAGGGTTTGTCTATCACTCAGAGAAAAATGTTGCCTTTTAGCAGTTTACAGGTTTTATCCAGAAAAGTTGAGGAGCGAAACTAAAAAGACATAAGAGGATACAGCTGTCCTCTTACTTTACCTTGCCTCCGTTCTTTAAACCATACAAAAGCATAAAACAGAAAACATGAAAAGAATATATGTACTTTAATTTAAAAGTGTGCCTAAAGCAATTTGCTAAGCAAAAGTAAGTACATAAATGAGTATTTGCTTTCTTCCGAAACATTTGCAATTTTAATAAGTTATTTTAAACTAAAAAATAATCAAAATAAATTTCATTAATTTCATAAATGGCAGACAGATGGCTTTGATCAGCTGTTTTTCTTGCTGGCAAAGCAGCTTCTCATCAAAATTAAATGTCAGTTTGGTCGATCAATTTCCCCAACTTTGCAGACATTTTGTGTTCCTGATAGTTATCAAAAACTATCAATACGCCAATGCACCTAATGTCAAATTGAAAAAGAATTGTTTGTTTGTTTATGTTTTTTTTTAGAAGAGAGCCTAATTCAGGTTTCTTTGGTATATGGCATTCTTCCAGCGAGCGATGTGCATGTATTAAACATATCGTCGCCCGTTTGCCAGAAACATGAATGTGTAAAAATGAAAATTTTGGGAAATCAAGTATGAAAGTTTTTTTATACTAGACTTTATGCAATTGAAATTTTAAAATATGTATATGTTTTCTGTGTACGAATTGTATTCTGGATCCAAAGGCCAATCAAGTCAACCCAATAGCTCAAAACTGATAAATTTGCACATTCATACTTCTGGCATAAGGGTGACGATTTTATTTATATACATTGACGGACATGAAAATTTGGTTGTTATAGAATTTTGTTTTAGGTAAAAAATAAACATTTCTTTTTCATTTTTGTTTTGTTTTTATTAAAAATCGTAATTTTCATAAGCAAAGGCGATTTTTGGTTTTTCAATCCTACTTCACGGTTAACCTAAGTTGAATTTTTTATATTGCTTTTTTCTTTTAGATATGAAAAGGCCTGCTTTAGGCTTGTATGTAAATCATTCATGCTTTTCAAAGCATCAAGACTCCACTGCGTATCATTGGTTGGCGCATTTCAAACCTTATTGTTTCAGTGTATTTGACTTAATTCATGAACTCCATGCGACCATTTTGACATTGAGGCCTACCGGAAGAAAATTTAGGTATACTGGAAGAAACTCCAACGCCACCGTTTATATTTCATCACTTAGTTATAAGAATAAATTATAAGCTTTGGAAGTCACCACTTAGAGAATTAGTCTAACTACTGCTGAATGTAACCAGGGTATTTTTCTGGGTCGCGCATACAGATTCATCATCTCGCAACCTCTGCCACCTCTCTTCAGAAATATTTTCGGAGTGCAGCTTTTTTAACCCCCATCGTTTAATGCCCATACCAAAGTATTTCCTTTAACTTGTTGATAAAATTTATTTTGAATTTAAGAACAGGTGGCAACCCTGTCTAAATAAAACTTGTTTCTTTTGAAACACATGATTTAACTTAAAAATTTAACTTATTTCAACGTTTGCAACCTTCTTCGAAAATATTTTCAAAATAAATCGTTTTTGAACCGCTTTCGTTTGACAACCACATTCTTGTAACATTTTTTTTTTTTAACTTATCATTTGATTGCTTTATACTTAAAAAAAGGAGGCAACTGCCTTAAAGATGCTCCTATATTTAATCCAGGTTATAAAAAACCAAAATATTTTAATGTCAGGTTCGTCACTGTA